TTTGATTGTTGGGATTTCTCTCTATTATTGTGGCAACTGTTGTGATTTGGTGCTATATAAATAAAATGGAAAACTGAAATGAACTGAATTCAGATTTCCAAAGACTCCTACATAACATAGACAATATCGTGGAAACCATGACAACCAATGATCCTGTCTTAGTTATCATTTATCCCTTTATCCCTCTTTATAACCTCATATATCAGATATCATGCAATCTTACTGACTTATATTTGACATTAACACATGCTACACGTATTCACATTAAATTTACATTGAATACACATATCAAATACTTTTACCCATATAGAAAACAAATCATATATTAGTTAAAATGGCTGCTACAATACCCACAGTGACATTTCTGAAGTTGGCAGTACATTTACAGTAAACATTTAAACTGTGCGTGCCACATTTGACCCTGGGAGAACAACACTACAGTGCAAAGTAAAAGTGGCAATGATAGATTAATTCTTAAATGACAGAAAATGTTGCTGATGTAAATGAGACGCAAATGAGACTGATGTAAAAAACAAAGGTCCATGAACTACACAGAATTGGTGACGTCAATCTCCCCCTTGATGTGGTTGGGTGAGGGGGTGGTCCTTCATAGTCATGTGACTTCTGTGATGGACCCTGGGCTCTACAGAAACAGTAAAGAAAAGCAACAATTCAGTCAGGGCTGCTATAGCCACGAGAAGATTGTGTTTTGATACACAGGTGGGTTGTAAAGTCAACAACTGTGAGCAATTGGATAGCAGCTGATCTTGACTTTGTGCCCTGCCTATACTAATATTACTAATAATAGTAATAATACATTTTATTTAAAAGCACCTTTCAAGACACCCAAAGACACTTAACAATAAAATAAAACACATAGTAGAACAATGACGAAACAAAGAACAGTACAAAACAAGATCAAATAGACAATAAGTTCACAATGAATACATGCAGACTTGAACAGATTTAAACTTGGGGATAGAAGAAGAAGATCGAGGTGAGCGGGCAGAAGCGGTAGTACTTAACAGGTCAGAGAGGTAACGAGGAGCAAGGTTATGAGGGGCCTTGAAGGTGAGCAGCTTGTACACTTCACAGGGAGCCAGTGAAGTTCCTGGAGAACAGGGGTGATGTGCTGGTAGGAGGGGTTCTGGGAATAATGCGGGCAGCGGAGTTTTGAACCAGTTGAAGCTCAGATGAATTTTGGGGGGAAACTACATAAGAGATGTTACAGTAGTCAAGGCGGGAGATAATGAGACTATGAACAAGAATGGATGCAGACTGGGTGGAAAGAGAAGGTGATGGAAATAGGCATATCACTGATGTGAGATTTAAAGGATAGTGAAGTGTCTAGGATGACACCAAGGCTCTTAACCTGAGGTGAAGGGAAAACTGTTAGTGAGAGTGAAATGGTTCGCCTTCAGTAGGTTGGATTTCGTGCCAGTAAGGAGGATTTCAGTTTTATCCTCATTGAGCTTAAGCTGAACCAGGATTTTAATTGGGATAAGCATTCTGTAAGAGACGAAGGTGGGAGGGAGGAATCAGGTCTGCAGGAGAGATATAACTGAGTGTCATCAGCAAAACAGTGAGAGTGAAGATCAAACTTATGGAAAATGGTACCAAGAGGGAGGATGTATGTTATGAAGAGAAGATGGCCTAAGACTGAACCGTGGGGTACACCAGAGGTGACTGGGTATAGAGTGGAACGAGTAACTTTAAGTAGAGCAGTTTCTGTACTGTGACATGAGCCAGGTTGAAACCTCTCGTAGATGTTAATGAGGTGTGAATGAAGCTGAGCTCTGACTATTTTTTCAAGTATTTTAGAGATGAAGGGTAGATTAGAAATGGGACTGTCACGGTTCTGGGTCAGTTTCGACCCAGT